TTCATAGACTGCCAGCTGGTAGAACAAGGATCAGGCATGATCCAGAGAAGGCACCTTGACCTGTATTCTCCCACCCACCTGTACCCAGGTGAGCTCCCTCTGCCCCATGGCAGCCTTAGGCCCACAAACAGAAGGGCCGTCTTTCAGGAGAGGTATGCCAGCTAGAAGGGATGAAGAGGTAAAGTGAGGGACCAAGGGCCAGGATAAGAGGAAGATGCCAGCTCTCAGCTGGGCCATGAGGGAGCCGAGAGCTGTATTTTCATTGTTTACACTGTGTGCTCCTTTCTCTGGAATCCCCAGTAGACTTGGAGGAGGAGGTAAGCAGGTGGGGGAACCAGGCAAAGACCAAAGCAGGTAGCAGCCTCTTGAGATAAGTTCTTTCCTCGAGTTGGCCCCTTCCTTGGGGGGAATTAAGTGTCTCTGGTAGATGCTCCCATTCCTGAGCTGTCAAGTGATGAAGCCTAGGAAATAGGCAGGTGGGGAACTTGTTAGGTGGCCTAGAGTTGGTTCTGACTCATAGCGATCCTGTGCCTGGCCCTACGCCATCCTCACAGTAGATGCCGTTAGAGCTCACTCTTGCTATCACTGTGTCAAATCCATCTCATTGAAAGTCTTCCTCTTTTTCTCTGGTCCTCAACCAAGCATGATGTCCCTCTCCAGGGACTGGTCCTTCTTGATAACATATCTGAAGTATGTGAGCTGAAGTCTGGCCATCCTGGCTTCTATGGAACATTCTGGCTGTACTTCTTCCAACACAGATTGGTTTGTTCTTTTGGCAGTCTGTGGTAGTTTTAATATTCTCCTCCAACACCATAACTCAAATGCATCAATTCTTCTATGTCTTCCTTATTCATTATACAACTTTCACATGCACATGCTGTGAAGTAGCGTGGAGTCGGTTCTGACTCATAGCGACCCTGCACAGGGTTTCCGAGACTGCAAATCTTTACGGGAGCAGAAAGCCTCATCTTTCTCCCGCAGAACAGCTGGTAGTTTCGAACTGCTGACCATGAGATTAGCAGCCCGATTCGTAACCACTATGCTACCAGAGCTCCTTGAGATTATTGAAAATTCCATGGCTTGTGTCAGGCGCACCTTAGTCCTCACAATGACATCTTTGCTCTTCAACACTTTAAAGAGGTCTTGTATAGCAGATCTGCCTGATGCAACATGCTACCTCAAGTCCACCCTTCCCCATCACAGGGATCGGATCGCCCACAACAGTACCAGGTGTTTCTGCTGTAGAGGAGTCATGTGACCCTGGAACTTCATTCCTTTCCTGTCCACCTGAAGTGGAAGAATCTGGTCAGACCAGCTGGTCTGCCCAGGGGCAGCAGGAGAACCATAAAACCTGAGTTATGCCCAGCTGGGGAAGCAAGACTCACTGGCTTCCGCAATCCTGTCTCCTTATCCAGGGGAAGAGGCAGAGAGGAAGTCTCAGGGCGAGGTCTGGTCAGTTTCAGAAGCTTCCATTCATTTTCTCCACCCATGGGAGCCCCAGGCTGCAGAGACTAAGGAAGACATCAGGGCAGGCTCAGAGGGACCCAGGGGACCCCAGGGAGGAGAGAGGGAAAGTCAAAGACAGGAACTGAAGGGGCTTAACCAGAACCCCACCCCTCCAGGTACCAAACCCCCTGTCCTGGAGTTGATTCTGTAGAACTGCTCCAAAGGGTTTCCGAGGCTGTCAATCTTTAGGGAAGCAGGCTGTCTCGTCTTTCTCCCGCGGAGCGGCTGGTGGGTTCAAACTGTCAACCGTTAGGTTAGCAGCTCAGTGCTTAACCCACCATGCCACCAGAGCTCCTTTCTCTAGGTGCAGTGGAGACATATTGACTCCAGGCCTAGAGATTGCTCTGTTGCCATGGCAATGAGAGGGGAGAAGGGTAATGGCGAAATAGTCACAAGGCAGGGTCCAAGCTGGGCTGCCCCTCAGACCCCACCCTCACCCCAAGGAAGACCCATCTCTGTATCTCCTCTCTTCCACCTACACACAGGTGGTACCAGCATAAATCTGAACGTGTCACTAGGTTAACATATCCTGTCAAAACCACAGCTGGAAGCTAGAGAATGGAGGAGTCTGGGGTTGGTGAGAGGGATGTGGTTCCACTTGGGAGGGTGTCTTTGACCAGGCGGATGACGTTGGGTCGGCCACATCTTTGAAGAACTGCTCTCAGAGACTGGAGGACTGTGGGGTCTGGAAAGCTGGCTATTGGGCAGCCTCAGAACTGGTGGGTTTCTGGGACTCCTGGTTGGCTGGTTCACCAGGTGAGAGCTGGCTTACCTGGTGCTATAAAGGGAGTCCTGAGAGATGCTGGGATCTCTCCTCTGCCTTCCCTCCTCCACAACCCAGAAACCTACACTGACAGGCTGTGAAACCATGGGTGGACTGCCGCTCACTCTGTTTTTTTGTTTTTTTTTTCCTGTTTTTATTGTGGTTTGGGTGAAAGTTTACAGAACAAATTGGTTTTCTATTCATACACATTGATTGCAATCCCCATAGTGGAAGAGCATGCTTCCCGCTTCCTCCCTGGGTTTCCAGTTTCCATTCCTCCTTCTTTCCTGTCCCTTCCTGCCTTCTGAGCTTCCTCCCTGGGCCAATGCTGCTCTTCTGGTCTCATAAGTTGGTTGTTCTAAGGAGCCTGTACCTCACTGGTATTACTGTCCCCCTTAAAGTCCTGTCCATTTTTTGGCTGAAAGTTGAGTTCAGTTCCAGGCCTGAAGGATGTGTTAAGGACCATGATTTTTTATTTTAAAGCAATCTTTTTCCTTCAAAAAGGGGCCGGAGACTTGCTGTTGTTTGGAAGTTTTGCTGAAACCTGTTCAGAATCCTAGCAACTCCACGGACAGACGCCTCCACGTCCCGCCAATGCACTTGGCGGCCTGTAGAACTGGGAAAGGTAAGAATTCCATCACTGGGCCATCACTGCTCCTGATGTATAACAGGGATTCAAATCTTTGAGTAAATGAAGGCCTTGAGCAAGAGAACTCTCCTGAGTTGGTCTCCTTATCTGTACAATGGGGATTAACCACAGAACTTGTAAGTTTTTAGGCACCAAGAGAAGTAGTTTCTAGTACATTCCCAGCAGTGTGCAGTGAGCACAGACAAAGGGAGACAAGGGAGTGTCTCATTTAGTCCAGCCAAACGCCAGCAGTTTGGCCTGAGAACTCAGGACGACAGTCTCGTGGGACATCACATCATCCACAAGGTCCATGTTCTACATTCTACTTGATGAGTAGTGATTAAGGTTTTAAAAGCTCATGAGTGCCATCTAAGGTGCAACTGTTGGACTTTCTCCATCTGGAGCAAAGAAGACTGAAGAAAATTAAAGACACAAAGAAACAATGAGTCCAAAGGACTAATGGACTACACGAACCCCAGCCTCCGTGATCTGAGGCCAGAAGAACTAGATGGTGCCCAGTTACCACTGCTGACCGCTCTGAAAGGGATCAGACTAGGAAGTCCTGGATAGAGCCGCAGAGAGATGTGAAACAAAACTCAAAATCACTGAACAAACCAGGCCATTGGTCACACAGAGACTATGACCCTTACACATCCTATAAGCCGACTCACAGTGACCCTGTACACAACAGAACAAAACACTGCCCAGTGCTGGGCCATCTTCACAATTGTTAACATTTGAGCCCATTGTTTCTGCCACTGTATCAATCCATCTCATTGGGGGTCTTCCTCTTTTTCGCTGACACGTCACTTTACCAAGTAGAATGTTCTTCTCCAGGGACTGGTCCCTTCTGACAACATGTCCAAAGTATGAGAGACGAAGTTTTTCCATCCTCTCTTCTGAGGAATATACGGCCATACTTCTTCCAACACAGATCTATTTGTTTTTTTCCGGCAGTCCATAGGTACTTTCAATATTCCTCCCCAACACTGTAATTCAAATACATCAATTCTTCTACGGTCTTCCTTATCCAATGTTTAATTTTCATGTGCATATTAGATGATTGAAATAACATGGCTTGGGTCAGGTGTACCTTAATTCTCAAACTGACACCTTCACTCTTTAGCATTTTAAAGATGTCTTTTGCAGCAGATTTGCCTCATGCACTACATCCTTTGATTTCCTGACTGCTGCTTCTGTGAGCGTTGATTTTGAATCCAAGCAAAAACGAGGTCTTTGACAACTTCAGTCTTTTCTCCATTGAGGGTTTTGTCAGATTTGGTTTTCTTTTCACTGAGACACAATCCATACTGAAGGCTGTCATCTTCGATCTTCATCAGTAATTACTTCAAGTCCTGTTCACTTCCAGCAAGCAAGGTGTGCCATTTGCATATCACAGGTTGTTAATGATTCTTCTTCCAATCCTGATGCCACATTCTTCTTGATATAGTCCACCTCCAACACACAGACTGCTGGACCTCAGCATACGGAAGCACGAGTCAGGTTGGTTCAATGGCAGTGAAGTATGAGCACTTGAAGTATGGCTCATGCCACTTACATGTAATTAATGATTTTATTTAATGCTAACTCAAATACCAGCCAGAGATGGCCATAGGTACACAGGCTTTGTCTTTGGAGGCAAACCCACTGAACTGACACATGTTCCTTCCACACAAACACCAAGATGCTCCCCAGAACTTGTCCAACCCAAAGCAAACTCCAGAAACCTCAGAATATTCTTACTCATGAAGAAAATGAATTGCTGGAGGAAAGGGGAAACTTAACACAAACACATGGAATATTCCCATTTTCGAGATGAGAAAACAAGCTGGGAGAAAGGAAAGACGGACTATAAGGAAGATGCCTTTGAACTATGTTGCTGGCAAAGAATATTGAAAACACCAAGGACTGTTAGAACTAAATTTGTGTTGGAAGAAGTCAAGTCAGAATGCGCCTTAGAAGCAAAGATGCAAGACTTCATCTCACGCACTTTGAATGTGTTATCAGGAGGGGACCAGCCCGTGGAGAAGGCTATCACGCTTGGTAAAGTGGAGGGTCAGCAAAAAAGACCCTCAATGAGGTGGACTGACAGTGTTTGCAACAATGGGCTCGCACACAGGAACGATTGTGAAGGTGACTCAGGACTGAGCAGTGTTTTGTTCTGTTGTACACGGGGTCTCTCTAAGTCCCGAGCTGACTCAAGGGCATCTAACAACGAAAGGGGCCAAGCCAAGCAGTGTTTGCTCACCTGCTGGGATGCATCCACAGCCTGTGTTGGAGTGAGCCAGGTGGTGGAGGGAGGGGATGTGATGTGGGACA